TATTAGTAATTAGTGATTACTAGTGGTCGCCATTTAAGAAGAAAGTTGAGGAATAAACTTACAAAACTAACAAACAAATGAAGTTTGCACCTTAGTGATCTTATCTCTTGCCCCACTACCTGGCAGTACTAACTGCCCCCATGGATTTCTATAGTACTCTTTGTTTATTTGTATTATACCACTAACTTTTATAAGATGCTGAGGACAATACTTCTTCATTTTTAAATTCCTGGAAATTACCATATAACTAATCTAATCAAAATTTTATTGACTGAATGGGAGAGCAAATAAGTATGATAATTCTAAATTTTTAAATACAACATGACTTAAAAAGACAGGAATGGGTCAATTAAGGTTTTTTTTTTTAAATAAAATATCCTACTTTCCAAAGATATAGTCAAAAAGTCACATCATTGTGTATTTCTGTGGCTGAATATAAAAAAGGAAGCTGTATAAAATTGTTTATTATTTAAAACTGTAATTGTGTACATTTCAAATGAAGTCAAATGATGTTTACGTTGCTTGGTATATTTAGATAACTTAGAAACATTTTCCCTGTTTTTTTAATTCCTTAGATACCAAGGAAAGTAGACATTCAAATAACCTTTTTCTCTTTCCTGTTAAGCAACAAATGAAGCAAATAATTGGAGGTTAGTAGCTGTCTAAGGAGATTAAACAATTGCTTAGCTGAACCTAAAAAGTACAACTTTGTTAGGACATAAAGATTCTGAGAAAACTTTTTCCACAAATTAATGTTTTAGCTTCTCATTATATATTGGTTCTCTTTTTAAGTTTCTTAAAGTAGTGATTTCTGTACTTTTTTTCTAGATATAATGCATTATTTTATAAGAAAATTGTATAAGTCAATACTGAAATCTGAGACAATCTTCCTAATCAGATTTAAATACAGACCATACAGTTTAACCAACAGGGAATGCTGGGTTCAGTTTATCAACCCCATACATCTATGAGTTTAATAACACAGCAATGGTTTTTACAGTCTTATTTAATTTAAGAATCACTAATAAGGTTTCTAAAGGTTTCTGGATTAAAAACAAGGTAAAGTCTTAGGAACTTAATTTGCTATTAGTCTTAAAGAATCTAATTTGTTTTCAGATTTCATCTCATACACAAATGCATTGTGTAATCAAGGCAATGTTTGATATTAAGAGGTGAGATATTTTGTACTAGATAACCTAGGTATTTTATAGATAGAAGAAATCATTTACATGTATAGGCTAAAAATAGAAATATTGCCTAAAATAATAAGACTTTAAAATCACAAAATATTTAACATAAATTAATAATCCTTTGAATAAAATTTGGCCTTCTAGTAAAAGACATGAACTACAGTTATTAGGACAGAAATCCATGTATTTAAAAATGTATATTGCTTAGGCCAATGCCTAACTCAGTTTATTTAAATCATCTAAATTATGTTTACTATGTTCAAAAGCTCGTTGATTTAGGATTCTGAAATAGTTTGGCAGAAGAAAAAGTCTACATGCATGTAATATAAAATATTCATTAAAATAATAAACAGTTCAGTATTCAAGAGTGATTTCGATTTCTTTCCCTAAAGGTGATTTTTAAAAGTTAGTATCTGATTGTGTCCTAAGATAATATCGATATTTAAATGTCAATGCCTGGTAAAGGAGAAATTCAAATTTTCTGAGATAATATAAAAATACATCTATTTCCATTAATGTCTTTGTTTCCTGTTATTACAAAAGAATTTTTTAAAAAGAACTACATCGATTGTATTGTATCTAGAATACTTTTGCCTTATCATCCTAAACTTTTGTTTGTAAGTGAATCTTCAAAAGCAATGTTGCTTGCTGGGACCATTTTGCATGTAGAGATGTTTTATGCAAGAGTTCAGTGCAGGGGTTATAGTTGTGAAAAAAAAAGAGGTGTGTGTCTACATGCTCCTTCTCTTCTTACACTCCATCTACAAATAGCACCATCTTATTCACATTGGCAGAATAGCGCAAAGTCATTACTCTTTATTGAGACATCCCTGAAAGGTACATCAAAAGTTTTCTCTCCCATGGAAAGAGTAAAATTACCAATTAGAATATGGCATCATGAAAAGCACCCTAGAAAAAAATACTTATTTCTAAATATAAAAGACAATCCTAAGAACAAAGGAGTCCAGAAAAGAATGTATATAGTGGCAGGTAAAGAGTTAGCTTCAAAAATTGAGTAAGGGAAGTATCTGTTTTCTGCACCATGATTTATTACACCAGAAATATGTTTTCTTTCTCAGTGGATAGCATGCCTCTTACAAAACCTGGAAAGAAGAGTATTAGTATCAGACTTACTGATCCAATCAAGAAGGCTTGAAATGAACACTTGAAGTGGAAGAGAAAAATGTGAATCAATAACACAGACCTTACAGAAGACAATAGGTTTGAAATGAAAATGAGACATAATAATAATAAAAAAAAGGTCTAGAAATTGTTTTGTAAAAACCATGACTTGAAATAATGCATAGGCTTAGAATATAGAGTATACTAAATAAAACTCAAATAATAAAAATATTAGACATGCTCAGCTCATGAAATGTACTCTTTTAAAAAATCTGTATACAACACTGACAGCTGAGTATAAGAATTGCCATAACTGTTTGTGCAAGGAGTGCCCTGCACAAGAGTACCTGGCCTGTGGAACAAGTCAGGGACATAATCCACTTCATACTCCAATTGCCTGACAGGTATAATCTTCAATTTACAGGATAAAAACCCAGGCTTAGATATGTTCAGAAACATGCTCAAGGTTATGTAGCTATAAAAATATGAGGTTATTTTGGCTAGAATTGGAAGCCAAGTGTGTCTGGAATTCATTATTTTTAAAAAAACATAGAAAAGGGAAATTTATATATACACATGGAAACATATATAATTTATTCTAAAGGAGAGGAGTAGGAGAAAATTCACTAATTTTTCAAAAGGAACAATACAATGACTGAGAAATGTGTGTCACTGCGTATCAGGGAGTTATAACACCAGTTTTACGATAAAAATATTAAAAATTGAATTTGGAGATGTTCATGTCAGGAAAGGAAAATAAAAGAGGAATTTGTCACTGGAAAATGGTGCAGCAATCCTAACAAAAATATTACAGAGGATAGTTTGCGAATAAGTACAAGATATGGATGAGAAAGAGAAGGCTTAAATAATGGGATCTCTTTTGGGAGGAATTCTAACTTACTAAAATTTGGCTTATAGGTAAGGATTTGATTTGCATCCACAACACAGATACTGTGTGGAAACAAAGTTTTTGAGGTGCATACGAGTAAAGGAAGAGGATGATGAGAAGGGTTGGGTAAATTCTATGAATTTAAAACACACAGTTAGTAATGGGAAGTTACCCAGAGACTCCAAGAAAACACAAATGAGGAAGAAAGTAAGAAACTAAAGATACAATTATGACTTTATCTTTGCAAATAAACCTATAACCAGAAAATAGCACAATAATTACCTAAAGGAAACAATTTTACAAATGAAAATTTAGTCATAGATTCTTACATTTTTACAAAGAACGTATAACAAAAAAGTGAATGTGAATGATTAAACAATGTAGTAAGGAGTTTTAAAAAGTGTATTAGGGTGTAAAGTCAAGAATCCTTATAGATACTCCAAATATGAAAGGTTATAAAATACTAGCTGTGTTAAGAAAAAAAGAAATAAGCCCACAAACTGAGGGAGAAAGAACTGCTAATTTGTTTTGTTGCCGCTATTGTTTGTATCTTCTCTGTTAAAGAAAATTAGCAAATTAGAATGAGTAGAACAATGTTCATATAGATTTCGGTTTTGCTCAGATTTACCTACAGACCTTTTTCAATGAGGGATAACCAGGGAAACATCAAGAATGATCCACTATGGTCTGCTATATCGGTAGCCTGTGTGCACTTAGAGAAGATTCCAGTAATTATCAAAGGCCAGGATGTTTTCACTAGGAAAAGCTCTTTCACTTTTTTGAGAATCTTAAACAGGCTGAATAAGAATATGCAATTTACAATGTATCTTAATGTGAGTAATGTATTATACAAGTGATTTTATTGTGACCTTGTGAGCAAGATAAAAAAAACAATGGTTTTATGATAGAATAGCTGAATGAATCATTGGAGGTTGATCAATCTTACTCTATGACAATTTTATCCTTTCTACCATCCCAACTCAAAAGATTATTCTGTGATTTAGTTAAGGAAGTGGAACATATGCTTTGCCAATCCAGGGATAATACAAGGTTTTGGGAGAGAGCTAATAGATTACGTGATGATCAAATAAATCTTCAAAAATGTTTTGTTATGCTGAAATTCATCCAGATAATATGCTAACAAGAAACAATGTAAAGACCTACATTTAAATTTCAAAAATATCATTTATACGAAGGATACGTGAATTTAACATTTTAACCCTTTGAAAAAGATACAATTTTTTCCACATAACCCTTGATTTTCAGCTCCCTTAAGAAACTATCATACTTTAATTTCTTTTCATTTTACAAAAATATTTCTATTTCTCAGACATATTAAATTAGCTTATGCAACATTCTGTATATATCTTGAACTCCTAAAGTAAAAATACATACGAATTCTGGCTTCTTAGGAAACAAGACAAATGCTTATGCAGTACAGGTAAGTGTGAGCACATCTGAAGTAAGTTCCTTTTATGAAGTTATACCATGTAATTTATCTCACATATCTAGTGATGAAGGATTTTAGACGGCTCAAAGACTGTCACTTTAATATGTCTGCTGTCATAGTGAAAAATGTGTAATTTCAAAGATTTTTAAGTAATTTGGAACAATTTGTGTAGAGTAATATACATATGGTGAAAACATATATATATATGTGTGTATAGATACACACACACACACAAACACATACACATAAAATATATTTTGGAATCCATGCAAAACTATTAGAAAAATGGTAACAACAAGGTCTTTACAGAGGACCACAAAGTAAAAAGGACATCGATTAGATTTCTCACCTGTCTGATACCCAACCGGTATGCAACAATCCGATCCACTGCATCAGGATTCATCTGTGTCCACTGTAGACTGTAAGAATAAACACGGTGTCTGTTCTGCCATACTGGATTGTAGGTATCATAATAGAATTCTGGAGCATAGGCCTTTCCTGAAAACAGAAGTGTGTTTAAATTTGAATGATGACATAGTGTAGTGTAAGCACACTTATTCCCTTTGGCCCTTTTACCAATTCTACTCTACCTTCCACTAGTAAAAATCCAGTCAATTCTCTGGATACATTTTGAGAACAATATGAGATTTCCTGGTTGATTGGATGAGCAGGGTGAGAAGAGAAGGATGAACACAAAGTGTTTGGTCTAAGTGACTGGAGGAATGGGATTTTCATCAACCAAAATGGAAATCTATGGGAGGATGAAATCTGGAGAAAGAAGATCAAAGTCATTTTTAAATAATTTGAGTGATCTAAACGAATACATCAAGTATGCAGTAGGATATAACTAGTCTGGAATATAAGAGAGATCAGAACTGGAGATATAATCTTGCTAACCGTAGGCATGCAGATAGAATTTAAATTTAAAGCCATGATACCGAAGGAGTGTGAGTAGATAAAGAAGGTGAAAGTCTGACACTGGGGCAATCCAAGGTTGAGAGTTATGGGAGGAGATAAAAATCACACAGAAGCCCAAGAGCGAACAACCATAAATTTGGGGAAAACTAAAAATGTGGTATCCTAGAGGTCAAAAGAGGTATTTTGGGAAGTGAGTGATTCACTGTGTAGAAAACAATTAGCAGAAATGAAAATTTGTGTTTGTATTACCTGCGGCTTTCATCAATAAAGTGAATTTAATACAACTTAAAACAATTACTTAATAAAAGATCTAGTCAATATTTAGCTTATATTTAGATTTTTAAAGAAATATGAATTACATATAGCATATATAGCACATAAAAAACATCTGTTTTTCTTAATTGCCAAAATGAAAAGTTTATACACCATTTGGAATTATAGATCCAACTTCCCAATATTCTGAAGTATAATTTTTTCTATTACAAATAACATATTTATTTAATAATACAACAATATTTAATGACAATCTATTCAATGAAAAATATTGTCCTAGATATTAAGAACACAATGAATGAGGAGGTGTGGCCTCCTCATTCATGGAAATTAATTACATTTTTTCCAGACTTTTCATGTAGCTTTGCAATTCTTAATAAGTGGAAAAGCTGCATTTCTATCATCACTCATTTAACATCTTTTCTTTTTTTCTTTCTTTCTTTTTTTTTTCTTTTAATTAGATTAGGCCAGCTGTAGGGCTCATGCCTGTAATCCCAACACTTTGGGCAGCAGAGGTGCTCGGATCTCTTGAGCCCGGTTGTTAAAGACCCACCAATCTGAGCAACGAAGCGAAATCATGCCTCTACCAGAAAAAAAAAAAAAAAAAAAAAGCAAAGTCCCAAATGAGAGGAAAACAACATACTGAGTGAAGGAGTCAATTAGCAAAACATTCTTGGTAATTTGTATTTGAAACAAAATTTTTCAAAATGAAATAAAGGTGGTGAATTTAGTAGTAGCTGAGTCAGATAGCTAGAGGTTTTAATTAAAAATACACATTCAATACCTACAAATTTACTAAAGAAGTAATGAGCTGCTTAGATGAGTAACATAAACCTAGAGTGTTTTCATTACAGACTGGTATCTAGATTGAATTGGGGAGGTAAAAGTCTAGTGTTTCTTTTCTATGAAGACTGAGGGGTTGCTTTTGTTATTTAATCAAGAAAGAAGCCTAAGGGTGACTGATTCAGTTCTAGGTAGCCCATTCTTAATAAAGTAAACAATTCATTCAAAGAGAATCAAGAAGAGAATACTGGCACAACTAGGGATTATTTAGCATGGGAAAAAAGCGGGGGTGGGGGGTGGGAGAATAGAGTTTTCTAGGAGTTGAAATAGATCACAGATAAAATCAGAATAAACGTTAACAGATATATGAAATAAGATGAATACCAGTGATTTCCTATTAAAATGGGTACATACTTTGACTTAGAAATGTTCTACCAATGACTTTTAAATATGGAATGGCCTACGTCAGTAGACTATAAATTTCCCTTTACTTGAGGTATTTAGTCAACACTTAAACAGCCATTTAGCAGGGCTGAGGTGGGTAGCTGCCCACAAGATGGTCATTTAAAATAACTTTCAGTCCTGAAACTGAACTGTAGGCTGCTATAAAACATTGCCTGTCAAACTGGATTTGATATGTTAACTAATTTTAGACTAAATATGGTTTAAATACAGAGGAACTGGCACTTCAAAATTATCTCATAACATTAAAAAAAAAAGTTCCCTTGAAAGGCTACGTATTTATTGTAAAGAAAACTATCTTTCCAAATATAGTATTCATAAGGATGAATTCACCTGTAAGGTGGTGACCAGGAATTCAGACATTCTCAAATACCCTGGGTTATTCTGATGCAAGGAAATACAGGTCTTACAATTTGGAATGCTTTAAACAGGCTGAAATTTCTCTCTGAAATTACCTCCAAGTCTATATAATAAAAGATGTAAAAACTTATCCTAAAGTCATAAGAAACATCTCTTTGGTCTTCTTCCTCCTCTGAGACTGGACGCCTGATCCGACAGCCAGGATCTCTCTGGGGCAAGACTGAGAGACATCAGATAATGGGGATGGGGTGAAGTAGAATAGAATAATAACTGGAAATATTGGAAGCATTTCAGGAAGTAGCTGTCCTAGTATAGTTGACTTTTGTTGACTACCACGAGGATAACTGGCTGCATGCCATGAATACAAATTGCCATTGTTCTAGGAACATTATTTATCTAAATGAACACTTTTGAGGTTACTGAAATAGTTTTACCCTGAAGTTAAAAAACAGATCCTCATGATCTTGTGAGTAATATGAATTTGTTTATCAAGATCCATTTTCAAGGTAGTAAAAAATTAAGCTCCAATCTAACCCACTAAAATATTACAAATAGATCCAATTTCACTATAAAATGTTATCTTTATATTTAATTGCAGGCTATTACAAAGGTTTTCCAATGTATTTTTAAAAATGCTTTATCTGCTTTGGCTAAACCACAGGTAATATTTTTTCATGGATCATTAGATTAGAAAATACTTTAGAGACTATTTCAATATCTCATATTATATATAAATAAATAAAGGTGCAGAATGGAGATGGGGATAACATATGAAAGGTTATACAAATAAATAATCAAATACAATAAGATCTATTACTTTTTTTACTTAGAATCATGAGATTAAAAAACAAATTAGTGAAAGTTTTTTTTAGTTGAATAATCATATTACTTGGAATTAAAGGTAAAAAACATTTTTAGATGGTGCATAAATAGTAATGTTTAGTAATAAGTAATTGCTAATCAGAAATAATTTTCAGTTATCACGATTAAATAAAGACGTGCTTACTTACGCCTCATGGCATACTTTCTACTGAACCTACCAAGGAAAAGCTTTAAAAAGGAAAAATGCTTCTTGATTTTATTGGAAAAGGGCATCTTAAATTTTTTGAAATGGGACACACTTAATTTTCTCCTCTAATTTCAGAGCCAATTATACTTTATGCTTATATACTGATTTGTAAAAAAGACACAGTAAAACTAAGGAAATAGCCTTATAATAATCTTGGGCTTTGACATCCAAACATGACATCTACTGGTTGAAACGGGAAAGAATTTGTAAATATTTTTTTCCATTTTATACCTCAGGCGTTTTAATTCTTCCAGTAAGCATACCAAGAACATTTTCTTACTCTTTCACATTCTAGTTTTATTCTTATACAATGTTGTTCCAATCTAAATATTTTCAGATTAACTGACCTAGAACTATATTCATTAACTGAACTGGGAGGTAATTTTTGGAATCATCATGTATGATTATATATAAATCTTGGATTTAAAAAATATCCCTAAAATATCTACATAGAAAAAATTTGTTTTTGAAAATATTCTATAGATTTATATAGAAATACTGGTATTTTGCAAAATGGTTTTGAAAAATAATTACATTGAGATTACAAAATATAATTTTATGCATAAAGTTCAAACATAAATTAAGAACAATTATTATTCCCACTATGAACACTTAAAATGTGCTTGGATAAAGGAACTGATTTTAGTAAAGTCAATAGAGTTTTTGAAATAAAAACAAAAAAATATATAATAGTGATCAAGACCAAACATATCTTGCTTTTGAAAATAATTCACATTTTGGAAAACAGACTGTAGGAAGATAAACTTAAAAGAACTACACAGGTTTATAGGACATGTGTGCAAATTTAGGGATATCTATTAATTTTTCACTTTGTAAAAGAGACAATATGTAGCTAATATATATTGCTTTCCTACGAGGTGCTAAGAAAATCTAGATAAATAAAATGAGCCCACTTTATCATCAAATTGCACAATGTCAGGAAAAAAAAAAAAAAACTCATACAAACAACAAATTCTGATATAGTTGTTGGCATAATTGACTCAAAACAAGAACAAATTTATATCTCTCATCCAGAAATGCTAGATGAAATTATGCCAAACATGTTTTTAGATGTATGTTTGCAAGCAAGAAAAAGAAGTCTCTAGGGATCAAAAAACACTACTGAAAACAAGACATTTAATAAGAGTTATGGGAGATAAATAGAGTGCTGTTGGTCTTTTTTACCATTGGGAGATAGATTTTCAGGCCCATAGGAGATAAGGTTAACAGACTACTGCAAGAAGAGAAGTTGGTAATGAGGCCACCACCTATGAATAACATCTAGAAAAATTATAGTTTCAGACGTAGGATATACTAGAAAACATTTGACTCTCAGCAGTATAGGAAGATGACAAAAACATTTATGTTACCATAAAATTTTTTTGACTAGTGATACTGCTGGAGTGCTTGAAAAGAGGTAATGCCAAAATGATCTTGAAAGACATGTTGTCAATTTAAGGTGCAGATAATTCCTCTAAATCCCAATGATTATAAATTCACAAACATTTTGAATACACAAATACACAAGAAAACATTCCACTGTGAGAGATTAACAAGGTAAATAAATAGCAAGATTAGATATCAGATAAGAGAAAAATAAAATATTATACCTCAGGCGTTTTAATTCTTCCAG